CTTGTCTTGTTCCTGATCTCAAAGGAAAGACTTTCAACTTTTCTCCGTTGAGGATAATATTGGCTGTGGGCTTATCATAGATGGCTTTTATCATGTTGTGGTATGTTGTTTCTATTCCGAGGATTTCAAGGGCCTTTAACATAAATGGGTGTTGAACTTTGTGGAAAGCCTTCTCTGCATCTATTGATATGATTATGTGGTTTTTATTCTTCTGTCAGTTGATGTAATGGATTACATTAATTGATTTTCTGATGTTGAACCATCCTTGTGCTCCTGGGATAAAGCCCACTTGGTCGTGGTGTATTATTCTTTGAATGCATTGTTGGATTCTGTTAGCTAAGATTTTGTTGAGGATTTTTGAAACTATTCTTTTAATAGTTTCATTCTCTTGCCGATGTTCTCTATTTGGTAAGACTGTTGTTTAGACATGGTCTCCTTTTGTTCTTTCAGAATATTTCTAACAACTGCTTTGAACTCTTTGTTTGCTAAGCTCAACACTGGGTGTCCTTAAAGGTAGTTGTATAGCTTGCTTATGTCCCTATATATGGAATACATTTTTTATGTCTTGGAAATTTTGTTGATGCTGAACATTTTTAGATAATAAATACATCATGCTAAGCGGTCACTTACTTCCTTCTCTAGTTCCCAGAAGCCCCATCCTGGAAATCAGTTTCATGGCATACTGGGAGTTGTATTTCTTGGTGCCTGAGAGCTCCTCAACATGGACATGAGGGTTGAGTCCATTCTGGACATCATTCATTAACTCAGAGTTTGTTTCTCACTCTTCTTCTAACACCTCCACCCTACAAGTGGGGGTTGGTGATTGGAGGGAGCCCCAGTCTTCTTGGCCACTTCTCCTCTGTGGCCCCCTCCCAATAGACTTTTTCAATACAGAGTTGGAAATAATAGGAGATGCCAGTGGTTTCCTTTAATACAGTAAAACTCTTGCATTCAACCTAGGAGCTACAAAGATAAGCAGTACAACTTCTGTCATGCTGAGCTTGTGAAGATATAGAAGAGGGCCATGGTCAGATGCCATGGGCTTTCATGTTCACACCAAGATTTTGTGGTTATTATTGAATAAATATATTTTCATTTGTTATATGGGTCTTAGGAGAACTTCTAGATACTTTACATGGTTGTTTTTCAAACATAACTGTCTCCAGTTAAGGGGTTTATTTACCAAGTAGAGTACACCAAGCTCTTTTCACCTGCAGCCCAGAAGCTTGTTGACTGTTTTTGCAAGCAAAGTTTTATTGGAATAGTCACCCTCATTTGTTCACTTGTCCACAGTGATTGTCTTGCTTCAGTGGCAGAGTTTTGTAGGTGCCATACAGATGAGAGGGCCTAGAAAGTTTTAAATAGTTACTCCTAACCTTTACAAAAGAAGTTTGCTGAAGGATGATCACATTCTCTTTCTATGGGATGCCAAGTTATTGTCATGTGGAGTGGAGATGGCGAGCATGCACAGAATCATAGGAAAAGTCATGTCAGTCACTTAGAAGCATTGTATTTCTGGTTTTAGCTGTTTGTGATATTAGTTAGTTTTAAAGTTTTTCTAACAGCTTTTCTTTTTCGAAATCAATATTCATTTTATTTTTAATCTTTTCATTTTTTTAAAAGATTTATTTATTTATGCATAAAGAGCTGGGGTACAGACCATAGGTGCAGGGGCGAGTGAGAAGATTCACCAGAGACGGAGCTAGGGAGCAGAACAGGCCAACTGATGAAGTATACTGCTGAGGGGAACAGTGGGTGGGTCAAAAGAGGTCTGTCACACCATGTGGGTCACCTCAGAGGCAGGCGGGGATGGAACTCATGCGGAAGTGGCTTTAGCTTCTTAGTGCCACACTTTAACCTGCTGTGCCACCAGGGAGGGCCATTAATCTTTTAATTTTTATGTGGACCCCCAAATCGGTGGTTCTTCCCATAGGGAGGGAGGGAAACAGTGTGGTCAGATTTAAGTTGTAGGGTCATTGCCTTCTCACCAGTGTTCTATTTAATGACCAACAGCCCTTGACTTAATGCTGGTTCTACATATGATATTTCAGATTTACAATGGTACAAAAGCAGTACCTTTTCAGTAGAGTCTGCATTTTAAATTTTGGTGTTTATCCTGACCTGGCAATATGCAGTGTCGTTCTAGTGTGGTCAGCAGCTTCTAGCCCACCACACAGGCCTTCAGGCAAGCAGCTGTGCTCAGCAGTGTCCTGGGTTGACAATGGTTTGGGATCTTGTCTTTTGTGTTTTCTCATCCCACCATGTCCCCAAAATGCCCATTGTTTCCTGCTTCTGAGATATTCACCACATAGCTCTTACAAAGTAGACTCTGTGGCAGGTGCTTTTCCTGTGTGATGCCTACTGTCAGTGGTCAGAGCACATTCCTGGGCTCACCTGTGATGTCTGGTTGGGTAAGCCTAGTCAAGACATTTTCACAACTAGAAGTGTTTTCTTTCTTTTTGTTTGTTTGTTTTTTAAACACTTTGTTCACATACCATAAAATGTCCCCTTTGATGTTTTCATTATTCCCAAAATATTACCCATTGGTAGTCATTTCCCATTTCTCCTTCCTTTTAAGCCCTAGCAACTGCTAATCTACTTTAGGTCTTTTTGGATTTGGCTACCGGTCCTTTCATATGAGTGGAATTATACAGTATGTGGTATTTTGAGACTAGCTTCTTCCACTTAGCATATTTTCAAGGTTCTTTCATGATGTAGTGTATATCTGCTAATGTATGTAGATTCCATTTTTGCTTGAAAAACATGGTTCATGGGTGTTAAGTAATGTCTATGTTTTGGCTCTCACAAATAATGTTGCTATGAACATTCAGGTACAAGTTCTGTATGGTCATGTATTTTCATTTCTCTTGGGAATATGCTTGAGTTTGTAATGTGTTATTGCTTCTGCTGCATGATTTTAAATGAACTGTTTCCATAAAGTTTATAATGTTTGTCACGGGTCCCACTGAAGTCTGTGTTTGGTTACCATAATGGTCAGCTAATTATCAGGCAGAGCTTTCCATCAGCGCCTTTACTAGATTCTCCAGCCTTTGCCATAGGGCTCTGTTGGCACATTGGTGTATGTCTTATCACCTTGAAGTATTTTCAACTTTCATTGAGTTTATCAGGACATGGTCTTATCATAATTTGACCAAGATCTTTATATTCATGTACTTTTTAAATAATAACAACATATCATTGGTCTTTTGTTGCCATAATATTTCCTTTGAATTGCTTTGTAAAAAAATTAAGCAAGTAGATCTTATTTCTTCTGAGTTACTGGCTTTATGTACTAATGTGCGTCCATGAACACATCCTCTGTCCCACATTTTGAGACAAAATGTGGGAAGCGGGGAGGCTGATAGAGAGTGGATGGACGAGGCTCTGAGGGTGTGGGAGGACAGAGCTGTGGAATCATAAGGGGGAGCTGGGTGGACTAACACCTTACTGGGTCTCCCCATGGGACTCTGCTATGTGGGTAAGTAAGGCCTGCTCTCGGGGCCTACCAGGCCAGGCAGGTGTCACAGGCAGTGTAGGCCAGGGGTCTGGGCCATCTCAGCAGCTCTGCTGCAAGCAGGGTGTCAGTGGAGTGTTCTTCTTTTTCAGCATTGCTTTAAAGGACACTGCATCTGGCTGACCCCTGATATCCTCAAACGGGATGGCAACTGGGGTGCATGGAGTCCATTTGGATCCTGCTCACGCACCTGTGGCACAGGTGTGAAATTCAGGACCCGCCAGTGTGACAACCCACAGTGAGTGGACCCTGATGTTTTTTACCTTCCTGGGTAGCAGTTGCTTTCAGAGGCCTCTCTGGCCAGCCCTAACCCACAGGACTCCTATGGCCACACGCTATTTTGGCAGATGGTGCAAGGGTGAGTTGCCCTGGGTCCTCCTCAGTCCTTCTGAAGAAGCAGAGACTCAAAGTAGGGAGGGCTTCTGGCCCAGTTCACACAGCCTGCTGGGAGTCTCTGGGCCTATAGATGCCAGGGCTACTCCCCAAGCTGACCTGGAGTCTATTCTGTGTGTAGAGTGGGTTACTCTGCTTCTTAATCAGGGAGGATAGAAGGTGGGACAGAGAAGAGCCCTGGGGATAAAGAGGAGGTTCTCTTGAGCCTCAGGATACTAGGCGTCCGAGCAGAGGAATGGCTGCCACAGTCAGGCATGACTCAAGGTCAGTAATGTGTTCCGCAACCCCCAGGGACAACAGCCCTTACAGGCTGTCACCATACCTGCTGGGGCTTTCCCCAGCTGCACTCCAGCTCCTGCATGTCATGCAAACCCAGGCCTGGTGCTATACCCTCCTCCTTTCACGGTGCTCCTTATCCACTCCTGGCCACTCCTGCCTGAACTCTCAGGCAGAGCCCATGAAGAGGATGTGGATCCAGAGCTCTGGGCCCTAGGCCCCTGCAGCCCTATGTGACTTGGGGTGTATCAGTTAACCTCTCACACTGGGCCTCAGGCATACTATCCTATGGTGTTATTTGGGAGTGTATTTATAGTAGAGTGAATGGGACTTCATGTGTAGAAAGAACTCTCCTCCACTCCCGTTAACATCGGTTCACTCAGGTCTTCTATTTGCCCAGCAGAGGTCCCTCAGCTAGCAGGAGATATGTGGCTTTTATGTTTCATCCTTCAGACTATCCAGTGTCTTAAGGATTTTGACTTACATGAAATATTAGAATTATGGAATTTCACATTAACAATAAAAAAGATTTCCTACCATAACAATACCAGGTCCCAGTACAGGCTGACAGGCAATGCTGCAGGTTCTCCCCTTTTTGGTCAACCGCACCCAACTGTCCTACCCACCTTCTCCACCCTCGTAAGCCCACTTAATATTTGGGCTGGGACCCTAAACCCTAAGCCTCAGTCCCAGGATCCTCATCCTTGTGTAGGCCCTGTCATGTCCTCAGCAGAAGTTATCTGAGACTTGCTGTCCACGTACATTTTTCTGGGGGATCAGGTCTCTAATTTCATGTCAGTTTATGGAAGGAGGCTGTAACCACAAAGTTTAAACTCTGCAGGTCTCTGGGTCCCATGAGGCAGTCTCCGTGCTCTGTTTGGCCAGGCTGCTGTTATTTCCTATGCCCAAGCACTAAGAGATTGCCAGGAGCCAAAGGGGGTCCACCTGTGCAAAGAGAGGCCTCGACCACACTGGCCAGGCAGATCTATGAGAGGGACCTATACCCTGCCTCCCAGCAGTGAGAGACCCATATGTCAGAAACACCTGCACTTGGAGCTCACAGTCTCAACCTGGCTGGAATTCTCTCTCCCTTCTAGCCAACTCCTGCTCAGTGGCACCAGGCCAGCTGCAAAGGCAGGAAGGAGGCTCCATTTCTGCCCCCTGGCACCCCTCAAGAGCCCATGGCCCTGTTACACTCGTCTTGGGGGTGATATTGACAAGATAGGGAGGTAGAAGTGCAAGATGGTATAGGGTGCTGGGTGAGGACCAGAGGGTCGCCGCCCTGTGGCGCAGTGCTCGGCATGCAGCAGCACCCCGTAAGCGTGATCAGTCACTGTTGCCCCTTCATGTGCTGCCGGCTAAATCAGGTCCAGGGCACAGTGAGGAGGCCCAGTCCGGCCTGTGCTCCGCATTCAGCCCTGATTTCTCATGCCTGACAATGAGCTCTAGGTGGGACTCTCCCCATGGCCTGACCATGGAGGTTCATTTTCCATCCCTCTCTACCTGTACACTTGGGATACTTTTTAACTCCCAGCCCTCCTCAGTGGCAGCCACGGCAAGGAGCCACATTGCCAGGATGGCCTATGATGCTGTTGTTTCGTGACAGATGTCAGGCCCACAAAGGAGCCAGCCCTGGCTGGTGCCCATATCCCTTCTGCCCATCAGTGGCTGTCAGACAACACCAGTGAGGCCATATGGAGCAATGTGTTGACCTGAGATCAGCGGGAGACATGCAGCCGCTTTGCCCAGAACCATGTTCGCAAGCATCCACAGCCTTCTTGTCAGCAACCCCCGTCGACCCCAAAGGCCTCCCTTTCATATCTGCTCCCTGGGATGACCTTTGGACCTAATGATGCCCCATCTTTTAGTTCCTGCTAAAAGATGTTCATCCACAGCTTCTCCCATGAAACCAGGGCAGGTGTGGTGATGCCCACAAGATCACTAGCTGTCCCTTCTCTTGGGATTGAGCTCCCTATGCTCCTCACTCCCCCACTCTGGCAGTTGTAAAGCTGTAATGGTCTCCAGTCCCAACTCCTCTCTTGTTTTTCTTCCCCTGTTCCCTTGAATCTCCAGCTGACATTGTTTTGGAGTTAGCAGGGGTTTCTGTTAAAATCAGTACAGCTCCTGCCTGGCCTGGGATCAGCAGGGGCTTCAGCAATGCCTAGCTTCTCCTGCTGTTTCCAGGATGGTTGCAGCACAGATACCCCAGCCCCAAAATCTACACCCAGGCTTGTTCTCCCTCTGGGGATACCTAGTTGGTGCTCTCATCAGTCTCTGCTCCGTCAGTGACCAGTGGGGCCTCGGGTTCTGCTCAACTCTGCCATGCCTGGAAGATGGCAATGCTGAAAACCCTCAGCTCTTCCTAGAGTGCAGCCCTGCCTCGCCCTGTCACCCCATGCCAAGGATACCTACTGGCCTGCCAGAGTCTTTTCAGTAGAGATTTAGTGTTTTGTGGATTGTCGCTGTTCTCAGTAAAGAGAGGGAATCACAGAAATGAAGTGCAAGTCCTCTGAGTTGAGGAGAGCCAATGGATGGAATATCTTCTCTCTGCCTGACATTTGTTGAAAACTCATGCAGTGGATTCCACTGATTTGAAATTGCTCTTTGGGTTCCCACCATGCATCAGGCCCAGGCTCAGATGTAGGTGAGACTCGCTCAGGTGTAAGTGAGACTCACCCAGTTCCTCCATCCTGAGGCTCATGGCCGGAGGGAAGGTGGGGGCTAAGCACACAGCCACAGCCCACTGTCAGATCAGTCAGTGCTTGGAAGGGGGAGGGCCATGTGGGTGCTGAGCAGAGGACTCTTTCCCCCCAGGGTTCTTAAAAGGGGATTAGCAGCCCTTTCTATACCTGATGCTCTGAGGCACAGGAAGTTGGGAATCTTTGCAGGGCAGGACAGATCTTGGGTCCTTGCCCCCGACACCTGAGATACAGGGATTCCCCCAGATACCACAAATGGCACCCCACATGCCATTGCTAGTGGCATCCAGCTGCAAGGCATTTGCTTTCTTCTCCAGTCCGGCCAACGGGGGTCGCACCTGCTCAGGCCTGGCCTACGATTTCCAGCTCTGCAGCCCCCAGGACTGCCCCGATGCCCTTGCTGACTTCCGCGAAGAGCAGTGCCGCCAGTGGGACCTGTACTTTGAGCATGGTGATGCCCAGCACCACTGGCTGCCACTAGAGCATCGGGACGGTGAGCCTCTGTGCAGAGGGTAAAGTAGCCGCTCTGCAGAGAGCCCTAGAACAGGCCAGAAATCAGCTGCTCTGTGCTGCTGATATCTTAGGAACAAAGATGACAGCTACACTGGATTGCCAGGACAGCCCACCCTGGCTGGTGTGGCTGCTGGGGCCCACTTCTGGATAGGACCTGGGCGCTCTTGGCAGAAATGCAGTCCCAGAAGAGCCAGCAAGCAAGACGCTGGAAAAAGCTTCTGGTAAGAGGGGGTCTAGGTGCCTGTAGTTGCCACCTGATGGGTAAGGCTGGCATTGCATTCTAGGTTGGCTGGGAGACCCTGCCAAGCAATCAGATTACTCCTGCCCTTCAGCTTGGAACCTCACTCCTTAGTGTTACAAAGTGGTTCCTACTGGTTTAAGCCTTAAAAGGCATTTGTTGGGTTGTGAAACAACAGATGGCATTTGTTGGGCTGTGAAAGGGCAGATGGCTGTTTGCCAGCTCTCCACTTGAAGACACTGTCAGTCATTCCCTGGTAGTTTGGAACATGGTAGTGTATGTATTCTATTTAGGCCCCTTCCTGCTATAATGGAATTTTAAACATAGTTTCTGTTCCTTGCAGATGTCAGGTAGGGTTGGGAGGCCTCGTTTGGCTCGCTTAGTGGCCCGCTGCTGTAAGCCCCCAGCTGTGGCGCAGGGACAGGGACCCAGATCTGAATGCCCCCCTTGCATCCCACTCAGAAGGAGGCTGTGGTGTGACCCTGTGCTTTAGTGAAGACTCTGGGTGCAGAGCTGGAAAAAGAAGGTGCCAGGGGTCCAACACCAAACCAAGGGGTGTCTGGCCTTACTTGGAGTTTCAGAGGAGAATGACTGACCAGTGTCTTCAGGTGAAGAGCTGGCAAACAGCCATCTGTCCTTCACCCCCTTTCAAGCCCGCTTCTCGCTCGAGTCTCTGAACAGCGCTCAGGGGCATTGCCACACCAACAGTCTGGCTCAGCTGGGGAAATCCCTCCTTGAGTCCCATACGTACTCAAGGAGTCAGAGGTCCCAAGACGGAAACAAAGGGGTTTCCCTTCCTCTTCTACACCAGAGCACATATGTGGGGACCGGAAGAGGGAATGCTAACACCCTTGTGGGAGTTTCTTTCTCAGCTTGTGAGGTGCCAGTCTTGAGAGGACTTGGGGAAGCAGCTGTGCAGTTAGCACCACTCCTCACTGCACTCCATTCCCTTCTAGTCAAGGAACGATGCCACCTCTACTGCAAGTCTAAGGAGACAGGGGAGGTGGTGTCCATGAAGCGCATGGTGCATGATGGAACACGCTGCTCCTACAGGGACGCCTTCAGCCTCTGCGTGCGTGGGGACTGCCGGGTGAGTGCCGTGAGGCAAGGTCAGTGTACCCTCAGGCCTGAGTAGGCCTGGGAACCACCTAGGGAGCTTGGGACCTGCAACTCAGAGATTCTGATTTTATGAACTGAGACCAGAAGTGTAAGTCTAGAGCTCCCTAAATGATGGCGGTTGTGTGAAGCTCTGCCTTGTCCTTTTGCCCCACTGAGCACTGGATAGCATTCTTAACCAGAGCAGCCCACAGTGGGTCCTGCTGGTTGGGCCCCCTTTAGAAATGCCTGGCTTTGTTTCCTAGTTTTACTGTATTTCTGGTTTCAGTCTTAGTCTGTCAAAAGAAACAATGGTAAGGTAACCTCACCTTATGATAGTGCCATGATCAAAGACTTGGCCATGAGCCCCGACTCTGCCAGACTTCTTAGATACAACAGAAAACCTCCCTAAAATTTGTGTAGACAACAAAACTGATTGTAGGTGCCACAGAGTCTGAGTCATCTCACCTTCCTGAGATGTGAGACTCCTCAGGAAGTCTCTGGCAGAAAGCCCTCAGGAGTCTACAGCCCCTAGAAGGAGAGGGTGAGCGTAGATGAGCAAGGAAGTGCTTAGGACTTCCCTTGTTTCCTGTAGTTTCGTAGGACTTTGCCCGAGGTGAAGGAATCTCCTCCAAGATGTGGGAATAGGCGACTAGAAGGAAGCTCCACTGGAGCCTGACGGAGGGGGAGCTAGGCCACCAACTGCTGAGATAGTGAGATGCAATACAGGTTTCCACTGCTATCCAAAATAGAGCATTGCTATGAACCTGTAAGCTAAAAAGTGATGGCAATGAAAGAAGAAATCACTAATAATTGATAAGGAAAATTTTGATTGACAGATGCAGAAGATAGCCTAACATATTTTATCACATAAAACATCAAATAACACGTGCATATGGCAAAAGCAAGAGTGCTACAATAAGTCCACAGCCTCTATGAAGTAGTTTCCAGAGAAGAGGCTTGGTGGGCCTGGTGCTTAGATACATGGTGCTTCTAAATGTGACTCTTTCTATGTAAAGCAGATGCTGAAAACTGTCTTTACCCTTTCTTGTAAAAGCAGAAATTCTTTTCAAATCTCTTCCAGTTAGTAAAAACAGGTACAAATGTAGGTCTTTTGTAAAAGTGAGTGGCCTACCTAAGCTTTCGAAAAGCAGGACAAACCTGTACTTAAAAACAAAGCAGGTCTCCTTTGTACCTGTAGGGGTTTACTTTATGGGGTGATTGAGAGAGACACAGAAAAGCCTGTGGTACAGTGATTTCTGTGTCATTCCCAAGAACATTTACATGACACAGGGTGACAGACAGAAACTGTGGGAAAGGCAAGACCAGGCAGTGGACCCAGCTTACCACTGGCCACTTGAATTACTCCTGAAGAATTGGGGAAAGAGGGGTGTCTTCTAATTACCTGGTACCTGGTCTTGGGGGAGGTCTCGGGGTGGTTGGGAGTTTGGTTGGTTGGCACATGAAGGAAGCACCTCCTTTGCTCTCTGTATGAGCTGGAAGGACAGCTGTTCTGCCTCCAGCAAGATTTTTAATATGCCAAAATACCATAAGACATAGGAAAACAATTTAAAACATGATTAATAGAGTCAGTAAGCATGGTAAACTCTAATAGTAGCCCTTTTTTCATGTTAAATCTTCTTTTAATGTTTCATACAAGCCATATAGAGATAGTGTAGTTACCTCAGCATGTATTTTAACATACAAAATCACAGTCAAATGAAATAAAATCATATTCCATTTGAATCTGATTTTAGTCATATAAGTGACTAGAAAATAAATGCCCTAGAATGGCATATGTTCATCTTACATGTGTTTAAAGACTAACAAGGCAGCATACATTTGTGAAAATACATCTGTCAAATTTGTTATAAAGAGTAAAACATGTAAGAGTATTTATTATATAGTGATATATAACTTTTTCTGGGAGTAAAAAAAATTTATTCAATTTTATGAAAATCATCAATATCGTCACCTTCTAAAGTATATGTAGAAATGTGGACAATTTTCAAGTAATTTGATATAATTCTTGGCATTAAGAACTTGTAATAATACACATTTGATATTATCAATAATATAGGTAATTAAATCTGTGCTAATATTGCAAAAGTTTCATGAGTATATCTTCTAGAAAATTCAACATCTGGCATAACACTGTCAAAATAAACTTCAATTTTATCTTCTTATTTTCACCAACATTGTAACTATATTCCCTGAGAGCACTCTGCAGTGTCACTTATATGTGAGAATATTGACTTTCTTGTAATACAAGAAGTACTAGTTACTAACTTTGTGTTATTGGTGCTTCTCATGAACAGTTTATGAAAAGTAATCATGCATTTGGTGCTTAATGCACTAGGAAGTGGAACCCAATGGACTGTGTGACATCTATAGTATGTACTTTTAATGCATTGGATGTTCAAGTTATTGTAAAACAGATTTTAGTAGGAGTACTTTCAGATGACAGCTATGAATTTGATTGCAAGCATAACCTTAATTAGATAAGGAAAGCATGAGTCACTGTCTCAGCAGGAGTGGCAATTGCTCAACAGCAACAATGACAGAAGTTAAATATTTCATTAGTTAATAGCGATAACAGCAGGATGATGCATTCTGCATAAGCACATGTTTCGTGTGTATATGCATATATATATATATATATATATATATATATATATATGTAGGTGCTGGCAATTAGAATATTGAAACACAGTGACTTAAGAGGTGAATGACAAGAAGACATGTAGGGAAAATGAAGATGTGCACATACACACCTACACACACATGCCACAGAGCAGGGAATCAAAAAAGAATCAGAAATTAAATGAGACTACTACCTTGATAAAATAATGACTTGGCAACCAAATAAAAATTATTATCTAAAAGCTGCAATGAAAAAGGGGGGAAACAGAATTAAGTTAGATCTAACAAAACTCTAGTAACTCTTTGGTAGGATTTCACAACATATCTGAAGGAAGAAATACAATACTTTAGCTGTGGCCTCTCCTTTGTGACACTGCCTTGGCTTCCTCCAGGGCTTAAAAGAAAGCAGCAGCCAGAACCACTGAGGAGTTGTGGGCAGCCCCTATATGACTTGCCACCTACCCTGATAAAGGCCAATGAAAAAAATATAGGGGAAAATACTATTTTCCTGTCTCTCCAGATTTGATAGATCAAGTAGTTAATTTATTCTGTTTCCTTTTGTTCACTTTCTATAACAGAACAAAATCTGTTAGCGAAACTGTTTTAAAACATGGCATGTTTTTCTTTGTCCAAAAGGCCCCTTCTCCAGCCACTTGAATTTCCAGGAGGTGTCTGTGGCTGTGCAGGGACTATAAGCTTTTCTGGGATGAACACATGAGGCAGGGGCTCCAGTGTCAGAGAAGGTTCTCAGATAAGGCTGACACCCTCCCGTGAGCTGGTTTCTGTTAAGTTGGGCTTCAGAAGCTGGGGGAGCGCCTTCTCCATGCCACTTCTACCCTAGCACCTGTGCACACCTGTGTTGGAACCACCTGCTTCTACATCTCTGAGACCTTTTGTTCCTGGTTATTCCATGAACACTTAACACCCACCACCCCCAGGTGACAGGCCAGAGCAGCCCTTCCCCTAGAGGCATGTGCCTCTAAGATGCTGAACCCAGTTTCAGTTTGGATTTTGGCTACACCACCAAGCTGTTCTCCTTAAGCCAGTCAGGTGTCCCATAATTCAACTAAATTCTGCCACCATCTATCTGGAGATAGATTCCACGGGCTAAGAACTCAGTCCTATAACACTACTCCACACCCCTGCTTCACATGTCCAAGTTGTTACCTGTACTTCTGAAGACTCACTGGCTATAGATTAAAGGTTCCCCTGACTTCCTCCTCCTCAGGTTCAGTTAATTTGCTAGTGGCTCACAGAACTCAGCAAAACATTTTTCTGGCCAGAGCATCATTTTTGTTATAAAAGATATATCAGGAGGCCCTCCCTGTGGTGCAGCGGTTTAAAGCATAGCACTATGAAGCTGTCCTCAGCCACTCAAGCATGAGTTCGATCCCTGGGCAGGGGGCTGACCCACAGCATGGCAGACTTCCCCGGACCAGCCTGCTGTTCCCCTCTGCAGTGTACTTCAGTCTGTCTGTCTCTTCTGTTCCCCTCTCAGTCTCTGGTGAGTCCTCTCACCGCCCCCCACCCCCTGCACCTCTAGCCTATACTTCAGTTCTTGTGTGCATAAGTACATAAATCTTAAAAAAAAAAAAATCAGGAATAGCCAGATGGAAGAGATATGCAGGGCAGCTGTAGGGAGGGCACACAGCCTCCTGCCCTCTGCAGATGTCTCGCTTGCCCCAAATCTCCACTGATGTGTCCTTTGGGTTTTGATGAGGCTTTATTACATAATTGCAATTGGGAAAATCTGAGGCCATTGGTGATTGAACTCACCTGCCAGGATCTCTGTTCCCCATATGCTTTTCCCATTGACCTTCTTCCAGACCCCATCCCTGCGCCCCCAGCTCAGTCTCCAGCCAGTGGAATTAAAATTTTTTAAGTGACATGCCCTGCAGCTTTGTGAGAACTGATAAAAGAGCAAAAGATAGTTAACCACACCCTGTTCCTGCAGACTGGTGGATCGCCGTGGCTTCATAGCCACATGTTCAAAACTGACATGTGATACTTGGCTAGCCCTTTCAGGGTGCAGAGCTCAGCCCTCGAAGGCCCTTGAAGGTGAGAAGCAGGAGAGCCCTTCTTCTCATGGCTCTCCTGCCCACCCGCCTTCCAAGCTACAGGCATCACCTGGCAGCCCATCTCCATCATTAAGTGGGGTGTGGAACTTGGTCAGTCCCCCCCCCCATTTTATGGAGCCATTTCTGTAACATGGCCACCCTAGGAGAAGGGGTAGGGGCCAAGCCTTTGGTTTATAGCCATTGTCAGGGCAGAGGGAAGTTTCCTTGTCCTTCAGGGTTCTTCTAGACTGGCAAATGATAGACACCGGACATATTGATAGTGTGAACTGGGCTGCCTGTCCATGAGTCCTCACCCCCACACTTAAAATTCAGTTGTAATTCAGGCACACACAAAAGGGTCAATAGTGGGTCTATTTACAAAAGGAAAAAGGAATAGGAAATAACCCAGGAAAGAGAGAGGGATACAAAGTAACTGGAATATCTTACTGCTGGGCTGACTTGGAGCTCTGGTAACAAACTAACTCATAGGAGAGAGAGGGAGAGGGAGAGAGAGCGAGAGCGAGAGAGAGAGCGAGAGAGAGAGCGAGAGAGAGCACGAGAGAGAGAGAGAGAGAGAGAGAGAGAGAACCTTAGCAAATGGCACCCAGCTTATCCCCCAATGTCCCAGAATGCCTGCTTAGCTCCACCCTTGGGTCCTCGCAGTTCTCTCCCTGGTACTGCTGGGAGTTGTAGTTTCCAATGACTGGAGTAAGGGGTGGAGTCCATGGAACTCTACTGAGTTCCTTTAGGACATCCTTCCCCTTACCAATAGGAGGGGACAAAACAAGAGGCTTGCTAACATATATACCTCCTGTATACCGGAGAAACACAGTAGAAGATAGAAAATGGCACTTTAAATAAGTTCAGCTAGACACAAAGTCACCAAGTAGAGTGTAAAAGGGCAGGAGGCACTACAGGAGAAGCAAGACAGACAAGGTTGAAATTGCTGCCGCTCCACTGATGAGTTAGGGGAGCCAGGTCTTCCAGACACTGTGAGAGGACTCCCTTACAAAAGAGAATCTTCCTTTACACATGTAAATGTCTCCTATAAAATGACAAACTCCACTCAGCCTTCAGAGTCCCTTCTGTGAAATAATCTTTATGTCAAACAGACAAATTTGAGGGGTGACAGATTTTGTTCCCCTACAGAAATGTTCATTTAGAGGCCAGTTTGCTATGCCAGGACAATCTCGGGATGTCATTTTAAGCTATGCATAGTCCTTTGTGGGTCAAAATGTCCAGACAGGTGAAACAGGCACTAGGAGTCACTGGCCCTGGGTGGGTACATAGGGTCTGTCCTGCTCCAAAGCTCTATCTCCTTTCCCTGTTCTGGGAACTGCTAGGAAAGGGTGCTCAGAACTGGGCTATAATTGGGAGCCACCGCCAGGGCCCTGGGGTACAATGAGACTAGAGCCTGAATGGGGGAGGTCTCAAGTGTGCACTGCCCTCCCCCCTGCAGAAGGTGGGCTGTGATGGGGTGATCGGCTCCAACAAGCAGGAAGACAAGTGTGGCGTGTGTGGAGGGGACAACACCCACTGCAAAGTGGTCAAGGGCACGTTCACACGCTCCCCCAAGAAGCTCGGTGAGTGAGTCCTTTTCCCTCATCTGGGGTCTGCATGTCTGTAGCACTTGGTAGGGAGTCGGAGTGGGCAAGGTGTGAGGCTCCGGGCTCTGTCTGGGTTCATGACTGTCTGTCCCAGGGCAGGTCTAAGTCAGAGACAACTTTGTTACCAGCCTCCAAACAGGAAAGTCTGTTCCCTGGTGATTGAAAACTAGTGACCCAATAGCCAGTTTTGGTATAACAGAGCAGGATCTTTATTGTGAAGCCTGAAAATGGAGAATGGGGAACTCATGTTCCAAAGCACCTTCTTCCCTGGGCTTGGGATGAGGTGAGGTTAGAAGGAGGGTGGCAAGGGTGTTTCCAGGTTCCTGGGTGGGTGTCAGTCTGGCCTGCATACCTCCATGATATGCCTGTACACAGGTCACATGTTGCAATGTAATGTTAAGTCTCCACCCCTGAACATAGTATTTAGGATTATAATGAAGCAGTGGTCTTTTTTAGATCATTCTAGTTAGCCTCTCTCAGAGAAAACTAATTTAGATCACTTATCTGCAGTTTCAGATAAGACTTCATTTTCCTGCAAAAGAATATAGTGGGTACAGATAACAGGTTTCTTACCCTAGGGACTACAGCTTGAGCCAGGCTTCAGGCTGGATGCAGAACTGAGAATGGGAGTCAGGGCAGAAATTGCAGGGATCAGCAGGTGGGCCATAGCAGTCTTTATTTGAGGGTAGGCACCAGTGGAAGGCCCCTTTCCTGCCTTTCAGGGCTTCCCAATTGGCCTGTGGGTCCCTTTCTTCCTACTCTTCTACCCCCAGCCCCCAGCTGGCTGTCAGCAAGACCTCCCTGGGCTGGTCAGCAAAGCCTGCAAGCCTAGAGTCACAGCAGGTCTGTTCCTGCAGGGAGGGTCACAGGAAGAGACTGGGGACCCAGATCCCAGGCCAAGGTGGGCTCTGCTAAAACAGCCATCTGGGAGTACTCATTCTGGAGCCATGCTTCGACCTGGGTAGCCTGCAGCATTCTCACACTCCCATCTTAAATGAGAAGCCAGTTGGGGTTGCGTATATAGAGGACGACCTTGAAGCTATTATATTGGCTTTTGCTGAGAATGAGCACGACCATGCTGGACACTGACACTCTGTGCAGCCTTTGAGAACGTGGGGGTCTGGTCAAAATATTTGCCCATTGAGTCCCTGAGGCTCAGGGAGGCCAGGCAGTGCTGAGGCCTCGGTTTGATCTCAGGTTGATACCTCTGCTGGCAGAGGCCGAGTGAACAGCTGGGATTCAGAGATGAGCACAAGGGCTCTGACCTGCAGAAACATAGTTTTCCCGTTGGTCTTTCTCTGGGCAGGTGGTCACAGCTCAGAAAATGCTGGGATCTGCTGACTTCCAGAAGGAATGAGGCCCCTCCTCTAACTGCCTGCACTACTCCCTCCCTCCCTTATTATTTGGTTTTGTCTTCCACTTCCCGATAAAGGTTACATCAAGATGTTTGAGATCCCAGCAGGAGCCAGACACCTGCTTATCCAGGAGACAGACAGCACCAGCCACCATCTGGGTGAGTCAAGGTGTAAACAGCGCATGTCCGCATGGCTGGTTCTGGTGGAGACAGCAGAACACCCTGGGGTCCAAAGCTTCCAAATTGCCACAACCTGGTACCCCCAAGGACATGTGACAAATTTCTCTATTTAGAGGAAACTTTGTACTGATACACAAAACCATTACTACTAGCCTCACGTGGGAGGCAAGTATCAGTCAATTCCAGAAAAATGGACACTCTCACCTGTTAAAAGGCCCCAAGTCCCAGGCTCTGTTTGCACAAGAGGGACAAGGGCTAGTGACCAGATGAGGACCTGCTGCTATCCACCGAGGCTTTCTCAGTGATGCGGATAGAAGACTTCCAGGCGATCTGTGCAGGGAGGGATTACCTCGCGTGTGGTCCCCTGGTTGTTGTCTGTGACTCCCCACAAAATCCAGCAGCCCCACAGTGGCCTCGTGTCCCACTGTAAGAAGATTGGACTTCCTGGACAGGCAGGTTCTTGGCTGTTAGACCTTTGTGGATGCCTAGTGACCTGAGAAATCCCCAGGTCAGGCCAGGCCTCTTTGTGGCTGTGTGAGAAACTGGTAGTGCCTCAGGCAGAGCCACTGCTACCTACTGGATGTGGAGACTGAGCTCTTTGGCTAGACACCCCATGGCAGGAAGCCCCCGCTCACTCTGTGGCCTCGTTTCAGCAGCTGGGCCACACCCCAGGGCTCATGGGCTCTGAGTGATTCAGGTAGACTACAGGGATGGCATCTGAGTGGAGCCTGTGCCTCCAGGACCTGTGGGGGCACATTCAAGAAGGGGACCTGGCCCAGACAGAAGGACACAGATGGAGGGAAATCTCATTTCAGGTGGGGAGGAAACTAGTTCATCTTGGGTGGCAAAGTGGCTTTGGGTTGCCAGTGGCCAGGTGGGATTCAGACAGCAGCAATGGGAAACATGAGGCGCTCAGCTCCCCATGGCCCTCCCCCCCCAACCTATCCAAATCAGCATACCATGCTGTCACCCCTGCCACATATGCCTGGGTCTTGCCCCTCACACATCATGGCAGGGGCCTCATTTTGCCATTTTTAGCCATCAAGAACCTGGAGACCGGCAAGTTCATCTTAAATGAAGAGAATGATGTGGATCCCAATCCCATGTCCTTCATTGCCATGGGTGTGGAGTGGGAGTACCGTGATGAGGACGGCCGGGAAACCCTGCAGACCATGGGCCCCCTCCATGGCACCATCACCGTTCTGGTAAGATGAGACGGCCAGACCCCACTTTTTGACCACCAGAGTGGGGGTCACGTGGTCATTGGGGAAGGGATGGGGATGAGTACTTGGAATTTCTGAGCCTCCCTGCTCCATTCAGGAGGTGTTCTGAATGTCCCCAGGGCCCTCCCTGCACCAGGGATCTCCATCCCGGAGGGGTGAGGAACAGCTGTCGAGCCTGAGCTTCGGCACCTGCAAGACCCCTGCCCCTACCGGCGTAGATGCTTCCCACTAAGGGGTTTCAATTTCCGTTTCTGAATAATATTACCAGCCACCTTTCATCATGCTTATTTGCATCTGCCATCACATCCAACCCTGTCTTGTTCTGGGAGTCACCAACAGGGCTCAGGAAGTTAGACCGCCAGATCCAGGTCACACCAACTTTGTTCCTGGGCAGGACTGGGCCCCAGGTGTCCTGAGTCCAAGACCACAGTCCACTGGTTATGGGAGAAATGGAGGAGGGTAAAGAGGAACCTAATTTTCTATCTCTTTTTAAAAATCAACTTTAATTGCATGATTAATATTTTGTTTGTAAAATATTGAAAACATCACAGGCAGGGCTTTAGTCCCCTACTGAAATAAGCACACTGTCACTGGCTTAGGCACCTGCACCCAATACCCTGTAGCAGGGCACCCTGTGTGCCAGGGTGTTCTGTGTCACTGTCACTCTGCTCACAACCCCTGTAGGGACTCTTTCACCCCCAGAAACGCAGCTGGCACCTTGGCTATGTCAGTACATTGCATACTCGTTGGGCCTCATTAGCTATCATACTTTCTATATTGGTGCATTCACCTACTTCCTAAATGTACTGTAATCTCCAATCAAATCCGGAGGTGCTTTCAAGGTCATCTGCAGAGAGGTGAGGCATTTGTCATCTAGTGTGCTTATTCCCAGCTGAGGTAGCACTAGGTGATGGTCTGCTTCTTGTTTTGGCTCTCGAACCATAAGAAATGTCTGTTTCAGGCCTCCTTGGTGGTGCAAGGGGTTAAAGTTACTGCCAGCCACTGTGACCTGAGTTCAAGCCCCAGCCTGGGAGCTGACCTACATGATGCAGCAGCTCTTTCTGATCTCACTGGCTGCTCCTCTCAGCAGTGTATTTTGATTGACTTGCCTGTTCTGCTCCCCTCTCTGGTGAATCCTCTCACCCCCTGCTCCAGTTCTTGTATGCATAAATAAATAAAATTAATTTTTAAATTTTAGATTAAAAAAAGAATATCCTTTTCATAATCAACTTAGTGGCACATAATTTTGGGGTTTTGGTTTTTTTTTTTTTTTTTTGAGCATGAATTTTTTTTTTAATAATATAACAGTTTATTTTTACATCATGCTGTGGCTTTCCCCATCTCAGTTGTAATCCCCATGGGCTTCCCATCACCAAATCATCCATGTACCATCACCATAGTCCAATAGTGCCACATTTTTTTTATGTTTGTGCTTTTACCCTTGGATGACTCACTGTTTTAAATGACCATTAAGTGCTCTGTGGTGTTCCTCAGCCAGGAAGCTGTGAGGTGTCCTGCAGGAAAATGCCCCTCTTCGATGAGCCTCCAGAAAGGATGAGTTACATTTCTGTTGACCATGAGTTCACTGTTAATGAATCAACAATCTATACTAGTACATACATACCCAGAAACACATGAAAAATGAGCCATAGAATGGTGGTTGATGAAAATGTTGTGCCCAGAGGTTGCAGGACGTAACCTATGTTCCCCTGTGAGCAGTGGCTCCCTATTAGTAAATTAAGTGTCCTCAGGGACTTACCAGAACAGGAGTTCTGTGCAAAATGAGAATTTGGCTATAAGTGTACCTCATGCTGATGTTTCTAAACTGGCTGCTGAGGAAGGAGGAGAGTTGGGCTGACACATTCACAGCCATCTGGGGTGCAGGTCATCCCACAGGGAAGCTCCCGGATCTCGCTAACTTACAAATACATGATCCACGAGGACTCACTCAACGTGGATGACAACAATGTCCTGGATGACAGCTCTGCGGGCTATGAGTGGGCTCTGAAGAAGTGGTCTCCCTGCTCCAAACCCTGCGGCGGAGGTGAGTTGGGACCCGCTGGCCGGGTCATTCTGGCTTCATGTGCTTTTTCTGGACATGCAGTGCTTCATGCCTTGTGGCTGTTTCCCCAGCCTGAGGCCCCCTCTACCTCCTTCCTACTGAACTACATTCCTCCCTACATCCTCTGCTTCTAGGAATTCCCCCAGATTCCAGGCCAGATCGGGTTGCCTTGCTGCATTCTCTCATATGCCCCCTGGGCCAAGGTTTACATCCTTGGCAACATAGGTGGGATTTGTAATTAATTTTCTGTCGTGTGACTACTCATTCATTGTAGAGCATTAAGCAGCATCATGGCCTCTACCCAGTAGATGGCATCAGCACTCCCTTCCAAGCTGTAACAACTAAAAGTGTCGCAAAGATTGTCAGATACCTACTGGGAGCTACATCACCCTGAGTTGACAACTGCTGCATCAAACAGTTCCCAGTGGCAGGAGGAACCTGGCAGGTCATGGTCCCTAGAATTTAGCCAACTCCTGGCTAAGTCCAAGACCCCTGTGCATATGAATTCAAGGTGGTGTATCTGACAAAGCAATAGGAGAGGAAATAAAACCTTTTGCCCTGCCTCTGGGAAACTAGACAAAGGACCAGGGGAGAAAGTCAGCTCTCTCCCTGCCCTCACGCTCCCCCAGCTCAGGATGGTGGGTGGATATCAAGCTGGTCATCTCCAACGCTTAACTGAGGTCCCCTGCCTTACCCCCCGATCAGAGGGTGAGGAGAAGGAATTGAGGCTGCCAGGAGGGAAGCCACTTCTTCACGGCTCTGGAGGGCCACAGCACCCTACTAAGCCCCCTTGAGCTCTTTTGTCTTCAGGGTCCCAGTTCACCAAGTATGGCTGCCGCAGGAGGCTGGATCACAAGATGGTACACCGCAGCTTCTGTGACACCCTCACAAAACCCAAAGCCATCCGACGTACATGCAACCTGCAAGAGTGCTCCCAGCCCGTGTGAGTGCCCACAGTGCTCAGCCCCAAGCCCAGTGTACAGTAATAAAGAGATTAATGGGGATTCCTGGGTAGGGTGGTGGGGATCTGAGCCTGGATTTCCCCCAAGGTATTTCATGTTTTTTTCCCCTCACTTAGCACATTTCATGGAGTATAAGTTACCAAAGACTGTAAGGTGCATCCTGCTTCAGACTTGCAAGATGTGCAACTTAGAAATTACAGCAATTATCATACTCAATGGGGAAACATTGGCCCAGAGGGGGAAAGGCTTGCTTCTAGTCTTAGAGCTGATGCTTCCCAAGCAGCTCATTACAGCAGCGATGGCCTTGACCCCCTGGTGCTGGGTTGGCAACACTAATTTCTGGTTCTTGGGTGGGTAAGCAGGTGGGCTCATGTTGGGAGGGCGTCCACGCTGCTACAGTGCACTGCCAGGGACCTGCAAGGCCAGCAGAAGTTGAGGTCAGAGCATAGAACCTGGATCCTGAGAAGGGACTGAGGCCAGCAGAGGCCTCAGCCTGGGCCTTCAATGTCCAGTCCCAGCAAGTTCTGCAGGTGGTGGGCACACTAGGTTCATCATCTGTGAGCCCTGGGGTAGGGGCATAGTGAGTCCACGGGCTCCTGAGAATAGGAACGCATGTGCCAGGAGACTGCCTCTGTCTCCTGAGCCTGGCCAGGCTGGTTCTCCATGGGCTGCAGGGAGACTAACTGTGCATCACTCTTCTCCGGCAGTTGGGTCACGGGCGAATGGGAGCCATGCAGTCAGAGCTGCGGGCGCACAGGCATGCAGGCACGCTCTGTGCAGTGTATTCAGCCACTGCACAACAACACCACCCGCTCAGTGCACACCAAGCACTGCAATGATGCCAGGCCTGAGGGCCGACGGGCTTGCAACCGTGAGCTCTGCCCTGGTCGGTGGCAGGCTGGGCCCTGGTCCCAGGTAAGCCGCTCCCTTATCCCCATGTCCTGAGCCCATGGACCTGGTTTGGGTGAGACTGGGTGGCCAGGGTATTCTACCTTCAATGTAGCTCTTGCTCTAGGCAAGAGCTCTTGTTCTGATACATCCTGTGGGTACCAGTAGGTGCCAAGTGGTGAGTGTTCTTTTAGGAAACTCAGTGGAATGTGTCCTTACTCCATAGGACAGAAGCCTCATGTCTACAGAGGCCTGGAATTCCAAGATAATGAGGGCAGCCTGGATTAGTGGAGAGGCTTATAGTCTCATCTCAGAAGGTAGAGGTACTGTCTAGAAGCTGGCCAAACTTGTAGGAACAAGGAAGGCTTAGACTCCTAGGAAGGGATGTCTCAAGTTATGAGAGCAGTTCTGCAGGTTGGGTGGAGCTGGACACAAGCACTAACATCCAGCTTATAGGTCTGATGTCTCAGGGGTCCCTGAGACACTTGGACTCAATGACTTGATAGAAGAACTCAGTGGCCCCAGAGGTTGTTATACTCATGGTCACAGTGTATTGCAATGAAATTACACAAAGTAGAATTGGCAAAGGGGAGAGGGACATGAATGAAGCACAAGCTTTCGGGGTGTACTTAATTCTGCCAGTAGTGATGTGTGGCAGCCAGGGAAGCCCACCCCAGCCTGGATGCCCAGGGTTTTGATAAGGAATCATTCACACACGCCTAAGGTGCTTGTGTGTGATATTTGTTACTGACATTCCAGACCCCAAGGGGAATGCAGTGCTCCCCATAAATCATGTTTGGTTCCGGAGAGCTTTCTAGGCATCAGTGCTGAGCACAGGCTTTCCTTGGGAACTGTGATGTGGAGAAATGCCCTACAGTTGCTGCAGCACTCTCCCCACACACACAAGGCGGAGAGGTAGAGGTGTGCCAGAGCTGGAGGAGCCAGTGGGGTTGGGAGGGGTGCCTCTGGCAAATCCCTGTGGACTCCAGAACCTCCCCAGTGGCCCCCAGGGCTCAGCAGCCCTTCCTCCTCTGCTCAGAGGAGAGTGGCTCTTCTTGAGAACCCCAGAGTGCCAGATCCCATGTCTGCAATACAGAGAGATAGTAACATGCATCTCCTCTTCAAAGCCCCAGGAGATTGAGGTGTTCCCCCAGTCTGGGAGAAGGCAGGATAACCTCTATTCCACGGACTACCCTGCCCCTGCCCCTCATCACCTCCCTCACTATGGGGTCACATGCCTGGGAAAATGAGCTCTTCCAACCCCAGGCTGGCATGGGATGTGGGCTCTGACTGGTAACCCTCTCGCACAGTGCTCGGTAACCTGTGGCAACGGCACTCAGGAGCGGCCAGTGCTCTGCCGTACCTCCGATGACAACTTTGGACTGTGCCAGGAGGAGCGACCTGAGACAGCAAGGATCTGCAGGCTTGGCCCCTGTTCCCGTAAGCCTTGTGCTGCCCCTGGCCCTTAGCATGTAGCACACCCAGCACGAGAAGCAAAAGTGGCTCTTCCCACCACTGGGCAAACAGCATATGTGACTGCAAAATGAAGCTGAGCCCTTTTGGCCAGGGCTTCCCCTTTCCTAGTGGGAAGTGGAAGGCACTGACATGTTCACCTCCGGGCCAGGTCCTGGTGATACGTGGACTTGGATCCTGTCTTCCTGGCACTCCCAAGGAACTGGAAATTCAGGCTCACGAGGACCACACAAAGAAGCTCAGGCAGACAGGGATGCCTAGCGTGGGCAGAAGCCCATTGAAGTGGGAGTTTCCCAGTGTCCTATACTGAGAAGAACTACACCACAGATGTGTTTAGACACATTGTGGTACATGTGCCCCTTGTTGGGACCCCAAACAGCTGAAGGTATAAATCCTGGGGGATGGTGTGCCACCCCAACCAGGAAGGTGGGTCCAGGATTCACTGCTGCCTACATTCCTGGGCAGGGAGGGTACCTACCACTAAGGTCAGGGAGGGAAGGGAGGAACACCTTGGGGTAGTGCAGAGATGAGGAGGTGGGCAGGGCCTGTGTAAGAGCAATAGTTGTAGCTGCTCTCTGTGTAGCTGAGACTTGACTGGATGGGTAGGGAGAGGAGAGGCACAAGGCTGACCTGGCAGGGGCTTGGAGCCCCTCTGTCTTGAGCCCCTTTAATGTTACACCGGAGAGTTGGGAACCTCCTCTTGGTCTTCCCATAAGCTGTGGAACCCTTCTGCCTGGAAGGAGGGAGCAAGCAGGGGACTCTGGCCTGGTGACCCAGCAGCTGTAGCTTCTCTCTCTTGTCTCTAGGAAATGTCTCTGATCCCTCCAAGAAGAACTACATTGTTCAGTGGCTCTCCCGCCCAGACCCTGACTCACCGGCGCAGAAGACCTCGTCAAGTAACCGGCCCGTTTATAACTCTGCCTCTGCCTCTGCCCTCCAGTGCATGCCCTGCGCCTTGTGGAGCTTGCCGTGGGCTCCTCTCCTTTCTTTCTATGGAAAACTCCCTTGACTCTTCCTGAGTGCTCTCTTGGTTGAATCTGTTTTCTCTCAGGCCTCTGTGCTTGGCCATCGCCTTGAGAATCACCTGGCCACCTGACAGGAGGGCCAGTCTCTCAGAGACAAGGCCCCAGGGTCACTGGCCTCTTGCGGAGGGCCAGGACCTGATGGCTTGTAAAGGGGCAAAGATCTGTCAAGATGCCAGAGGGGCCAGAGGCCAACGTGCCAAGGTGACCATTTGTTGACATTCCTCCAGGCTGAAGCTGCAGTTCAGATATTGAGGGGGAAGTCCGCCTGTCCCCTTTCAAATGCTGCCCACCAACAGTGAAGGGAGTCTTGGGTTGTGCAATTTTGTGCCACCATGCTGGATGGCCCAGCCCTGAGTTCTCGGTGGTATGTTGGGGCTTCCTGCTGTTGCTGCTGCTGACCCCTGCTGGGGGTGTCCTCTTGACTCCTGAGACTGTGGCCTGCTTTCTGTGGCCTTTGTATCCAATTTACACAGCTCCTTGGTCCCATGCCCTGTCCCTGGGAGGATGGCTCTAACAGGAAGGCCATGTCCCTCCAGTGGGACATCGGGACATTACCACTTCCACTCTGTCCATTAGCTCCAACGGCCTTTTCTCATCATGTGCACATGCACCCCTAGAGGGAGAGGGAGGGAGACAGAGAGAAAGAGAGAGAGAGATGTGGACTTGGCCACCTACCAGTGTGAACAACTACAGAATTACCTCAATTTTTATTGTTTTTTTTTGTTGTTGTTGTTGTTTGTTTGTTTAGAAAAATAACTATGTAGACAATGCCTTAAAGTTAAAAGGTAACCGAATTGGCTGCTAACTCCAGCTTCTGAGGGGGGACATAATCCAGGTAGGAGGCAGGCAATGCAGGTTTAGGGGGAGCTTGCCTGTTTATCCAGTTTGCTAAGGGTGAGACTTCTCAATTCAGATGCCTAGCTCCCCACGCCTGCAGTCTGCGTGGGGGACCTGTGTGTACTCACTCCATCCACCTCTGCTGAAAGGAGCCCGAAAGGAGACCCACTCTGATGCCCACGGTCAGTCGGCGCCGACTGTTGGAGGCCCCGCGGGGTGCCCGCAGCGCTGCCTTATGCTACAGCCCGACACCCCGGCCTTGTGCCCAGTGTAGCTCTCCCCCTCCGCAGCCCTGCTCCACTCTCCACCCCTTGTTAATAGTGTCCCTGCTGGACCTCGTGCCAACTCCCCTTCCCTGGCACTAATTACTGTTATGTAAATACTCAGTGTGTAACACATACTAATTTTCACGACTGTTAACTTCCAATTTTGACTCGGCGATGTGAGTGACAAGTGACTCTGGGAAGGTGCAATACAGCCCTGGGCATTGTGCTCTCTGTCTATATGCACTTTGGTTTATCAGGGATATTTTATTAGTGTTTTGTATGTATTTAATGATGTATTGTATAGGTTCCATTGTCATCACTTCCTTGGTTTTTTTAATGAGAAACTTTAGTGTGTGCCAAAGTGACTGTGAAAATGACCTTTTATTCTTACTAATGATGGAAACACTTCCTGTCATGCATCCCACAAATAAACTCAATAAAAGTTCCACAAAACTGGGTACCTGCGTTTGGCAGGCTGCTGGCTCTTTCTCTCAACCTCTGTGGCCAACCATGCTGTAAAGCTGAGGCGTGGGGTGCGGGTGCTGTAACACTACTTGGCTTCTGATTCAAAGGCCTTCACTGCTCGCCGTCCCCCTGCCCAATGCAGATATTCCCTCCTCCAATGTGACCTCATCTCCCCACTCTTCAGGCAGTTTTCAAAATGGGACAGAGCCTGCGCAGATGTTTCACTGTGATTCTGCATAATAAATCATTAGTACAGGCATCTTGCAAGAGTGTATCTGAGTTCTCTCCTTGCACATGTAGGTCTCACAGTCAGGAAAAGATAAGCTTCTCCCTTATCTTTGGGCTCAGAACCTGTGCAGTGGGAATGTGGGGTTCATAGCTAGGACAATGGTGGTGCAGTTTACCATGCCCTGAGCTCCTGACACAACTCTCAGCCTTGGGGTATCTGTCAGAGAGGAGAGGTGCCCATTTGGCCAGGCCACGGCCAGGCCAGCCCAACGTAAGAGAGTCCGGTTCAGGAGAGAAGCAAGGTCACGGTGATTCTGGAGCATGTGCAAGTTCATACTCATGCCTCCATGAATCCCCGGGCACCTGCCCTCAGAAGCCACAGGGCCTTGTGTTCACTTACCCTGCTCACAAGGACTAGCAGCAGGTCAGGTTTCAACAGGCACTCCCTGATCTGGAGCCTGTGTTATGTCCTGCTGGTGGGAATATCTTTCTACTCTTTCCCATGGCCTTGAGAAGAAGTCCTGTGCTAGGAAGGAGGGACATCATGAAAAAATACAGCGTGGGGTTCTCCACCATAATAGAGACAGCTCAAGGCACAGGGCTAGGCCCCAGGTGCCAGCTTCCGTGGAGGAGTTCTAGAGCATGGCTCAGTTCAGCCCCTCCGCAGAAATTCCAGCCCAAGAGAAACAAAAGAACCAAGAAAACTGTGGCCCGAAGAATGACAGCTACTGTCTCCCTGCCCAGATGGAGCAGGAGAAACCCCACCACCCAAGGAGTCCCAGCCCCAGCAGTAGGCATCCCAGAGCAGGGAATAACCAAGGTACATGGAGGGTGCAGGCAGATGAGGGGCGCTACCCGCTCTTTTAACTTGTTGCGTGACCTCCAATTGGTAGAATGAGTGCATACACCTTGATTGAGGAAGAAGAGAATGAAGTATTGGCATCCCAGCCTTTTTGGCAATGACTTAAGTGTTGTATAAATGTGGCCGAAGTCCTAAGGAGCAGTATGTGTTGAGAATTTCACATGTGCAGATGAGGACCTGCTGAAGGAGTTGGTGCAAACCTCCCACACAGGGTGGCAGGGCTCCCTCAGCATCTGAGCAGTGTGGGGGGCTTCCACTGCAGGGCAGCAGGAGATGAGGAGCAGAGTCGCACACCTCTGACTTAGGAGTACTTGTTGCACAGCTCAACTCTTAAGTGTTGCTTTAACCGGCACACTGAAAAAGGGGAGAAGATGATGGGATCCTAAGTTTGGGCTCCTATGTAAATACCTAGACTGTGTGTGAGCAGCGTTGTCAGACTATAAAATGTCTAGGCAGCAATTCAGGAAAACCAAAGTTGTTTTTCCTATCACATAGCCCCTTAACTGATTCCTTTCTCCTTTGTGGCATTAGGTAGAACTTTTCGCCTGACACTAGTTTTTGGCACATTTCTCTCTTACTCAGAGCTTCACAGGCAAGAGTGTATTTAATAACTTAAAATTGGACTTAAGAGAACTTAAACTTTTTCATTGTATACATATATTCTGTGGACATCTTTTTTTTACTATACTGTTTTGCTATGAATGGTGGTAGTGTAATGCTTTCTTCTAAAAATAAATGTTAAGTTAAAAAAGGAGTTAATTTAAAAGAGGAAAGTACTAAGAAAATTATACCACAGTTGGTGCTGAGACAGAGTCCAGGCCGTGGGAGTGTAATACAAATGAATTCATGTATGAAAAATACACATTTGTTGTTCACTAGAAGTCAAGAGGTCTTGCTAGTTAACTGCTGCTGGGAAATGACTGAAGATCAAGTTTCACAAAGCATAAAACAGACATTAACTTGGCAGAGGTCTTTCGCCACTCTGTCTCCCTAGCCATTGGTCATCCCTTTTGTGGTATACTTTGCATCTCATTTAGCTCAGAGGGCTCTTTGGTGAGTGACAGTCACCGAAAGTTATACAACCATAGACCCACACAGTCTTCCTTCTTGGCCCCTCTTCCTTCTCTTGGCCACTGCTGGTCTCTGAGGCCTGTTTGCCCCTACAGCCTACCCCTAGTCACGGGTCCCTCTGTGAGGAAAGGGCTCTGGCAGACACAGGAGAGGCTCCTCCTAACCCCCCCACCTGAAAACCAAGGCATCTGCCCCCAGACAGGATGGACACGGCTGAGAGATGCCCGTGCTATTTTTCATCTTTCCTATCCAGTTCCATAGGATTTGAAGCCAGGAGGAAGGGGATCTACCTGAGGACATTCAGCATGGGAACCCTGAAGCCTGAGGAGAGAGATTTTGTGGCATATGTTCTGTCTGTCTTTGCAGCCAGGGATGGCACAGGGAGTGAAAACTTAGTGGAGCACTTTAGTCAAGCCCAGATTAAGGAGCCCCATGCTTCCAAGGCTTCTAAATTGCAATGGAAAACATCCATTCTGAAATGCATAGTCTCCTTGTGAACACCTACATTCAAGATTCCATAGAAAGGGAAAGAAAGGGAATCCTCTTCAGCTGCCGTGGAGACCACATGCTGCATGAAGAGGAGGCTGCCACTTCCGGACAGCGCATTGTGGACTTGGCAGCAGTGTCCTTCCACTTTTCTGTGTCTTTGGCATTGATCTTCTAGCTCCAGAAATGAGGATTGACGCCTCACATTTTCTAGTGATCTCATTAGGAGAAATGAGCGTGTACATTGACTTTGCTTGCCTTGTGTTCAATCATCTGCACTAACCTTCTGAAAGAAATAACTACAGACAGGGAGGATAGAGCAGGAATTTCTGAGGAGGCCTGATAGTGAAGCTGACTGGCATGAATTGGAATGTCATGGAGCAGTATATTGAATTCGCTCTGACAGATTTATGCCAGAGATGGGTTTTAAGAACGGAAAGTCCACTTGACTTTATGGCGTGTACTTCAGTGGAAAGGAAGAAAATGGACAAGAGTTAGAAGTTGGGAGCAGTGTCAAGTTCAACAGATTTCTTTAACCCTAGATCTCAACTCCTAATTGAACTGCAGATCTGCTCTTATTTGGTATTTTTCTTTCTTTAAAAAAAAAAAAAAAAGAGTTGAATCAACCACATCACTAAGTCTGTGAACCAGTTAATGTCCACTAATGGCATATGTAGGTCGGTGTATTTGCCTCCACTACAGTCAACCCTGTGCCTTTCTATTGTTAGTGGTATCCCCTAGAATGAAAGCAGAAACAAAAGCTGCTGCATTCTCAGGAAGACTCTAGTCCATGTTTGGTTTGGCTTTGTCACCCTGACCTCAAACAGCTATTGTCTTGGCTTCAAAGTGTGGGGCTTCAAGCGAGTGGAATCCAGAAAACTAGCCATTCAGTTACCAACGTAAGGCCTTCAGCAGATGCCAGTCTTACTGCTTCAGAGCATATTTTAGGTCGAAGTGATTTGTACCTAAAATTGGGGTGGCACTTTATACACAATTTCTACTGTCAAAGTAAAAGGCTGATGTAACTCACTTGGCTTCCACATCAAATATAAAGTATTCTAGCTACCACTTGTGAGGGCCAATTCAAAATTTAGTAAGTGAACAAAATCAGCTTGTGTAAACTAAGCATGTTAATTAGTATTTTTTTTTTATTTAATGAAGTGTGTTCCAATCATCTTCCCAGTCAGTCCTGTGCACACATAGGTGTTATCCAGTCTGCACATACCACAAAGATAGTTGTGTTTTGTGTTAATTGGAATACTGTGTAGCAAGAGCTACAAGAGAAAGGAGCTTCTGATCCCACTCCATTTGGGAATTAAAAGGGGGTAATAGCCTGTGACCTGGGTTTCTGGGAGGGGCAGCAACATTTTATTTCTCAAGCTATATTTTCCCCAACTTCTAGTTAATACGCAAGACCCTTAAAGACTCTTCTAATGCAGACTGTAAGATCAGATAGTGCTGTTAACTGATTTTTAAATCACCTAAGATCTTGATCCTATTAAGCGATAAAAGCAGCTCTGAAACTGGCTTTCCTAAAAGCTGAATTTATGTAACTAAAAATTGTTCAATTTAATACATTTATGTGTACAATTTACAAATTTTCAAATTTGTAAATTTAAAGAAAATTTACAAATTTTCTTTTACTACTTTTAAGTTAGCAAAGGTTTTTTACTATGTCCTTGATTATACTTTCTATTAAGTTTAATTTTGTTACTGTTTATAGATTATTGTAGATTCAAACTCTGCCATAAAAGTTCATTGGGGTAGGGCCCTTCTTGGTGGTGCAGCGGGTTAAAGTGCAGCACTAAGAAGCTAAAGCCCACCCCGAGGTGATCCACAAGGTGTGGCAGACCTCTCCTGACCCGCCCACTGCTCCCCTCAGCAGCGTACTTCATCAGTCGGCCTGTTCTGCTCCCCACTCTGTCTCTGGTGAAGCCTCTCACGTCCCCTACACCTCCGGCCTATACCCCAGTTCTGTATGCAGAAATAAATAAATCTTAAAAAAAAAATTTCATTGGGGTTACCATTGGGTATTGGAATGTGAAAATCAGACCAAGCCCCAAAACAGATAGGCCTCATTTCTGTCCCAAAGTTTGAGAGGTACTGAACACATCTGGACTCGGCTGGGCTGCTTGGAGGAGGGGTTTGTTGCTTCAGCAGGATCCCCTGCTCTGCCCTATTCCAGGATAGCTTTGACTTTGAAACCAGGCTTTCCATGTGAGACCGCTTGCCTCTGTGCTCTTTCAAAAGCTTCTTCCAGCAAACTGCACACTTTCAGGGGAATAAAGTCCCTCTTATTTTGTTCTTTGGTTATTTGTCCCACTTTTTTCTTTCAGAGGGCCGCTGCCAAGGTGACAAGTCAATGTTCTGTAGGATGGAGGTCTTGTCTCGATATTGTTCCATCCCAGGCTACAATAAGCTGTGCTGCAAGTCCTGTAACCTGCACAACCTCACCTATGCGGATGACAGGGTGGAGGCGCCACCTGGGAAGCACAATGACATTGAGGAGCTCATGCCCACCCATCCCGTGCCCACACTAGTCATGGAGGCGTCACCTTCCCCAGGCACACCCCTAGAGGCTCCTCTCAATGTCTCCAGCACCAATGCCACCGAGGATCACCCAGAAACTAATGCTGTTGATGTTCCCTACAAAATCCATGGTCTGGACAATGAAGTCCAGCCACCCAACCTAATCCCTCGACGGCCGAGTCCATATGAAAAGACCAGAAACCAAAGGATCCAAGAGCTCATTGATGAGATGAGGAAGAAAGAGATGCTCGGAAAGTTATAATAAAGTGAAAGATAGCATTAACAGCACTTTTTTTCTTGCTTATAGAGATTACATAGGATAGGAAATCCTATGTTGTGTTGGTAAAGTCAAAATTCTTAATTCTAAGAGGTTTTGAGAAAACAAAGAGGGAGAATGATGTACATCTATAGTTACGTGTGTGGCAACTAAGTTAGCACATGTGTTTCCCAACCCCAGAGTTTTCTAAACCCTGTGCTGGGTTGGGTATGGGGTGGAGGAAAATACAGGAGATCTACAATCTTTCTGTGTAGGGGGTGGGGCAGGAGGAATAAGTCAGAAAGAACACACTGGCTCCGAGTGTCTCGGCAGTGAGTCTTCCTCTTAGTGGTGACTACTCTCTGGGGACATTGGCTATTTCCTACCAGTCTCCAGACTGAGGCATAATCCCCTAGAGAAATGTCTTAAGTTACTAAAGAGTGGCTTCTTTACTAAAAACTACCATGAGCACAATCAAGTTGGGGTTATGAATGCAGATTTCTTCAAGAGCCAGGTTGGAGGAAAGGATGAGTGTGGCCGAGCAGAGGACTGTACCAACCTGAGAACCACATTCAACTAGCGCTGGCCATTGCTGCCATGTGACTGCTATTGTCAGAATGTGTCCTTTCCGGAAAAAAATCTAGATTTTCATATGAAAATTTTTAAAATATCTTAAGGGGGACTGTGAGTCTGTTGGGCTCTAGAGCCTGGTTTCTATTTTTTTTTTTTTTTAATTAGGGACTTGAATAGCCATTTGACCCATTTGATGCTCCTGGGCAGTATTTGGATATATCAGCTGAGTTGGAACTGTCCATTTCTTCCTCAGGAAGTACCCAAATTATGTACCTAGTACATATACATCACATCTTCCTACAAAGGAGAAAACAGTGGAGGGCACTCTCAGGTTTTCCCAAGCCTCACTCACTACAGTAATCCTGGCCTTGAGTAATCCTGGCCACCTAGCCTCAACACCAGAGGCCTCAGAGAGGTGCTTTCCCTCCCCAAGTGCATCAGAAGGATGAGGGAGCAGGCAAATTGCTGGAAAGTGCAGTGAGAGGTAAGGCCTTGAACCTCCCATATGGGAGAGTCACCATCAGGTACATGCCCACATGCGTTGAGGTTTTGGGCTTTGTAGACGTGGGTCTGGTCCTGAAGACCAGCTTTTCCTGCGATGGAATGCATGACCTTTCCCTGTGTAGCTCTCTACCCCTTAGAAGTTCACAAACCCTCAGTAAGCTGCCCAACAGGACCATTCTTAAAGTGGGAGATGATGAGCGCTTGCTTTATTTTTCACACTCTACAAACTTTAACAACTTCTGGCTTTGACAAAATGGTGCCATGTTTTGAGCAAGATGTAAATGAGAAATAGAAGGAACAATCTAGGGGTGGGGGAGGGGATGGTGGCTAACTTACTTCTCCCTGTGCTGATATTTTAGGAACATGTAGCTTAAACTTCTCCAAACTACAGCACTCAGGGGCACATTAGGCCTTTAGGTGGACCTAAGGAGACTCATAATTCTGAAATTTTTCATATCCAGGGAAGTTCAGAAACCTTTGCATTCTTGCCAGTCATAGATTGTAAAGAACTATTTCTTTCTTAATCCCTCAATATATGGATGAGAATACTGAGACTCAGAATAATACCATGATAGCTATTTTATGTTGAATTTAAGGTGCTAAGGATGTTTGTCTGAATCTGCGCATGTGTATGACTGTCAGAGTGTGTGGTGTAGGAAAACAGTGAGAAATATCTGGGATGATGCTTAATTTTCCAGCTGGATGATAAGTAGCCTCCTTTCCACCCAATGCAACCTGCCCCTTTCTTCTAATCTTCTAACACATCCCACATGTGCACATTGACTGTCCTTGTGTCTCAGAAGAGCTTGCTGGATCCTAAGAACCAAACTGGAGAAAGCATTTTGTAATATGTCTCATCACATTACTCTTTAATAAGATGTGGTATGAAGCACTGAAGCAGTGCTATTGCTCTGTAATCAGGAAATGGATCCCAGGGCTTTCCTGAATTTGAACCTGTGGCAGCTGATAATATTCATGAAATGAAGGCAGATCTTGCTTGGTTGTGCCCTAGAAAGTGGAGAAAGTTCAGTGTTGACCCAAGATAGAGCTGATTACTCAGTGCATACATCTGGGGATCTCAGACTTCAGCAAATGAAGGCTTCATGCCTTGGGTCTGGAGGCCTTCATGGAAAGGTCCCAAATGGGACATTCTTAGGGATACCTACCTTCTGTTTGAGGAAGAATGATGTCTTTTGGGAGCTGTAGGTCAACATGGACATGGCCCCAGAAGCATGCTAAGTGCTTTAGGCTATATATCCAGAGTTCTCTAGAACAACAATTCTCAGAAGCCTCTCTCTGTAAAGAACTGTGTAAATCTCCACAGAGCATAGGGCTTTCAGGACAGATGCCTTTGCCACAGTAGTGAGCTTCCAAGAGCTATTGTCCGAGGTTACTCCTGCAGCTAGAAGACACAGAAAGTGTCTTCTCACTGGTTTGTAACATCATGTTGAGAATCAGAGATCCCCTTTATCCCTGGCTCCAGGAAATTCAGCTGAGGTGTCTGAGAGGAACCTCATGTTCATGGGGAGACTCATCTGAAATACTAGGAACTGGTTCTCTGATCTGCTGCTTTTCGAAAGTCCATTAATTTCATGTATAAGCCTTTCAGTTGTATTTTAAAATTTTTGTTTGAGCATTAAATGGTGCACTATAGTGAAGTGTTTATCAAATGAAGCTTTATGTCATGCAGATGTACTCCTGAATGGCAGCAACTACCATATGAATCATCACGGTGCTGAGCTCACATCACAATATTTTATCTTACTGATCACAGCAAATCAATACATTTGTTTTCTGTATAGTAAAATATGCCTCCTCAATTTTATAACTTATTAAAATTAAAATGTCTGTGTTTTTGCACATCATGCCTGTGCTTGTTTGTTACCTTAACTCCACTTGTCCCCCACTGCCAACCAGAACTTTGACAGAAGAGAAAGATGTATTACCTATGGAAGACGTGAGGGGGGGGGAGGCCAACTGTAGTCATCGAGACAATGTTGTTCAAGTTAGGACCTTGAAGGGGGAGGAACACCTAAAAGGACCATTCCCTCTCCAGCTCCCCATGGAGCTGGCTCTCTAGGTGACATGACTTAGCCAATGGTTTCCAGATAAACCTTTCAGTTCAGGAAGGACAAGAATAACTTCCAGATACCTCTACTCACAACTCCTTCTCTCCTATAATTAGGGTGTCCGGAATAAAATAATAGATGCTTGGGTTACTGTGTGCCTCAACTATTCTGTGTCTATGTTTCAATTATTCCTTGTTTTGACTGTTCTGTGTGTCTCAATGTGCAAAAACAAGGCAAGTTGGAAAGAAAACTCTTAGGGCAAAAGTTCTGGTATTAGGATTTATATATGCTGAAATGGAAATGGAAAGTTTGAAATTTGAAAACTTTCAGGGTCAAAGTCCTGCTATGAAGACATATACATGCTGATAAAAGCATGTGCAGTAACAGCAATTGGTGTTATGATTACAGTAGCATAAGCACTGAGACTTTCCTTGACTTTCTCCCTACTTCTCAACCTTGGCTCGGCTAAGTGGCTACACATCCTCCACAAAATTGTGCATTCCTGTTTGCAGGCTTGCTTCTTTGATCTTCTAATGTTCTATTTGGTTCTAAATAAAAATGAGACTGCCCTTGGAGCTGGGCTGCACTTTCTTGGGTAGTTCCTCTGGCTTTTCATTGTTCTGGATATGGATTCAGTAATCCTTTTTCATTCCACCACCACACATCATAACAAGACAGGTGTTGAGTTAAATTTGAATTTCAGATAATTAAATAATCTCAAAATAAAATGGAACATACTTATACTAAAATATTGTTTCTCTAGAATTCAAATATAGCTTTGTTATATATTTTTATTTGCTAAATTTGGTAACTGTACCTATAATCAGTATCCCACTTTTAAAGACAAGTCTATTCTCTCTGATTCACTCACATTAGCAGCTGGTATTGGGAAAGTAAAGAAAGGTTGAAGGATGGAGGAGATGATTTCTCTGATATCCTTGGCCAAGAACAAAGCAGACAATATGTTTACAATGCAGGGAGTGGGGGAGGGGAGGAGAAGAGAGCCAGTAGGAATCTGACTAGATTTACAGGAGTTGGAGGTGGCTTTGTACTGTTCACCTTTTTCTTTATGGTAATTTTTACTCCATTCTTATAGCACAGGCATTTGTAACAGAGAAGAGGAATTTGGAATGAGTCTGTGTGAATGTGAGGTTTAGGAGTCGGGGTGGGGACAGGAAATGATGCAGAGTATGTAGAAACTGGCTAAGGCTAAATATTTGGAATGGTAATTCATAACTGGAAAATCCAGCAAGGTTATTTTAGAAAACAGGTTATGGGTAATTGTCGGGATCGGCCCCAATCACAGAACAGGCAGGGTCTTAAGGTGGGAGCAGTGTCAGTGAGTGGAGATTCCTAAAAGAGAGAAAGGGGAGCACGTGCGAGGAAGACATGCGGGTCGGAGTTGGGGGCAAGTTTTCCTGCCCGCTCATCTTTTTTTTTTTTTTAAAGATTTATTTATTTGTGCATACAGAACTGGGGTACAGGTCAGAGGCTCAGGGGCGGTGAGAGGCTTCACCAGAGACAGAGTGGGGAGCAGAACAGGCAGATTGACGAAGTACACTGCTGAGGGAAGCAGCGGGCGGGTCAGGAGAGGTCTGGCTCGCCATGTGGTCTCCTCCGGGGCAGGCGGCAGGCGGGGATCGAACTCATGCGGAAGTGGCTTCAGATTCTCAGTGCTGTGCTTTAACCCGCTGCGCCACCAGGGAGGGCCGCCCGCTCATCTTTTTAACAGGTCTTTATTTTTTATACTGTTTAGCAAGCAGTTAGTTACAATAATGCATCAGGTAAGTTAGTAAGAAATAAGCATAAAAGTTCTAAAGGAAGAGGGGAATAATGCATCCTCTTCCTGACACTTTATGGCATACTAGACTATACATCTTTGTGATAACTTTCATGTATATGGATGTTTAACTATGACTTCAAAGAATCAGGGTCTAGGAAAGGATGAGCTGTTAGTAAGGGACTTAGGAATCCTAAGGAAGGAATAAATTGTGCTAGCAGAGTCATCAGTGATAGTCTAAAGAAAAGCTTGTGGCTAACTTAAGGCTAGCAGAGAGTAGCTAGTGTTTGTTTTAGGGAAAGTTTAATTAAGACTAGCAGAGAGTAAGTGACTGTGTAAGAAAAGGGTAAATTAAGAGGAAGTCACATAGTTATGCATTAAGCGAAACCTGTGTCAATAATGTTAGGAAGTCGTCCATAAGTCCTTACGCCCTGGGAGTTTTATCTAAGATTTGCTTTTTGTTTCAAAAGACCAAGGAATCTTCCCAGGGGTCTTGATGCTCTGGGGGTCTTATCTCTCCAGGAGCTTGCCTTTTGTCTCCAGACAAAGAAGAGTTTCCTGCCCTGGGGTGGCTTGTACTTTGTTCTGTCCAGGTAGCCAATTTAAGAAGCTAAGGCAATCCAGTTGCAAACTGATGGTTGCTCAGACTATTTTTGATATTATGATCATACAAAAAAGGGAGGTCGTAACCTAAGTTAGCAATGGAAATTCTGATTTTTCAGAGCATTTCCCTCCCATCCAGACCTTCATGGGTGACAGAAGTTGCATAGCTTGTGTCAGTTAATGGGGGAGGGAGTCAGGAAGGAACAATCAGCTTTCTGAAGAATGTTGAAAATGGTAAAGTGAGGATGGGGCTACACAGGTATTGGCCACTAATCCTTCTCTTTATATTGTGTAAGACACATCAGCATAGAGCAGCCACACCCTGGTCATGCCCAGTGTGTTATACACTAGTGCAAGTCCTTAGCCCAGGGAAACAATTTATTCTCATTCTTAGAGGCCAGGTAACCTATTTCCCCCTTGAATGTCCCACGCAGTTGTTTCTTCACTCCAGTGATTGTAAAAGCTCATAAGCCATGTTCCCATTATTTTAAATTTAAACACTTCAAGAATAACTAAAATCATGCAAATATCATTCTAGAGGGTTTTCTCTTGTATATTTAATTCTCCCATGCAAGGAATTCACACATTCATGAGCAAGTAGAGGAGACTGAACAGAGGCCAAATGATGCTTGCCTGTCAGAATGGGATTTCTACACTCTTCCCTATGACTGGCCCAAAAGCTGTCTAACTTCATATATACATAAAAATACACTGGGGCAAAGATGGTAGCAGAGGAAACACATTGGCCACATCTCCTTCACAGACTCAAAATTACATTGCAGCAGAACAAAACTAATAACTGCTGAAGGAAAGACAGATTAAAGTGCATACTAGGATTAGTGTTTAGAGGAGGGGGCCCTAGTAAACAGTGTAACAGGTCAACCATATAGCCTGCCTAAGAGGGGAAAGTGAGCTCCAGTGGCCTGGTGGGCCCTTTAAGTAGCATAACAGAACTGGAAATTCCCTTACATGGAAACCCTCAGCAGACCTCAGCAAACCTCAGGAAGCAGACCCACCAGTGCAGGTCTCTGCAGACCTTGGTGAGCTCTGGGGAGGGTCCTGAAAGCAACTCCACTCAGCAGTAGTCCTCAGCAGACATTAGCAGCCACTAGGACAACACCAAAGTTGGACCTTGCACACCTCAGTGAATTTCAGGGAGGGTCCTGGAAACAGACTTTGCCACAGTAGGCCCCCACACACCTGTAAGCACCAGGATAGGGCTGGAAGCAACCCAGGCCCATGAGTCTTGGAAAGCAGTTGGAGCAGGTCCTGTGAAGGGAAGCAGATGTGAGAAGCTCTGGCAAAGGCAACTGCAAGGTCTAGTCCTCAATGGATTTATCAACCAAACAGAAAATCAATAAAGAATCAATAGCTTTAAATGAGGAATTGGGGACACTAGAGGTTTATAGGGTACTACACTCCCCCAAAGTTATATATATTCTTCTCAAATGCACCTAAGACTTTTTTCCAGAATTAACTAGATGTGGGGTCACAAAAAAAGTGTGAATAAATTCATGAAGTTTGAAATCATATCAATATCTTCTCTGATCACAACGATATTTAGCTATAAATCAAAAAAGGGAAAACACCTAATATGTGGATTGAACAATATACTAGTTAATGACTACTGGGTTGATGAAAAAATTAAAGAAGAAATTTTAAAAATAGCTGAAGACAAATGAAAATGAAGACAGAATCTACTGGAATCAATGGAATATAGGAAAACATTAGTAAGAGGGACCTGTATGGCAATACAGACCCACTATCAAGAAACAAGAAAGAGCTCAAATAATATCACCTTTCACCTTAAGAAACTAGAAAAAGAAGAATAAATGAAACCAAAAAGGATATAACATAAATCAAAGCAGAAATAAAAGAAATAAGAATTCAAACCACAGTTTAAAAGATCAGTGAGGCCAGAAGTTGGTTCTTTGGGGGAAAATAATAGACAAAAGTTTAGATTCACTAAGAAAAATAAATAGAAACAGAAATGAAGTAGTTATATCCTACATATCAAAAATAAAGAGAGTCAAAAGAGACTATTACAAATGTCTTTGTGCCAACAAGTTGGAAAATCTGTAATTCTTAGGAGCATACAATCTTCTAAGACTGAATCAGGAAGAAATAGAAAACCTAAAAAGACCAGTTGCAAGCAATGAAATTGAAACAGTGGTGAAAAATCTTCCAAAAAACAAAAGCTGATGATTTTACTACTGAGTTCTACCTAGCTTCACAGAAGTATTAATACCAGTTCCTCAAACCAATTATTCCAAGTACTGGAATTAAAATCAATTTTTTTTCAAACTCATTCACAACGTTAAGTAGGAAATATGCTCCCAAACATATTTTCAGAACATTATTCTTACAAAAGTAG